AGTCAATATAATGATGCAGTCTGTCCTCCTGGCAGGAAAGATAGCAATCAAAGTAGAAAAAAAAATGTTGATGGTTGATAAGCTCTTTGGGTGGCTAAATACAGACTTGCATATTGCATTATTGTGTTTATGCACAGAAAGCTCTTGGGGATTAATGTAATAAAGAATTAGGTGCAAAGGGTTAGGGATCCAGTTAATAGTGGATACTCTCTCCTAGTTATGATGTATTGCAAGAATATGTAAATGTCAGGTAATTTTATATGTATATATATATATATATATATATATATAAATATATATATATATATATGCACAAATCAAAATTATAAACGCAACTCTTGTTCAAATATTGTTCACAAATCTGTCTAAATCTGTGTTAGTGAGCAATTCTCCTTTGCAGAGATAATCCATCCACCTCACAGGTGTGGCATATCAAGATGCTAATTAGACAGCATGATTATTGCACTGATGTGCCTTAGGCTGGCCACAATAACCTGGAACGTGCTGTCGTATACGCCGATCCAAAACATCCCAAACATGCTCAATGGGTGACATGTCTGGTGAGTATGCTGGCCATGCAAGAATTGGGATGTTTTAAGCTTCCAGGAATTGTGTACAGATCCTTGCAACCTGTGGCCATACATCATCATGCTGCAACATGAGGTAATGGTCACAGATGAATGGCACAACAATGGGCCTGAAGATCTCGTCACATTGTCTCTGTGCATTCAAAATGCCATCAATAAAATGCACCTATGTTCATTGTCCATAGCATACGCCTGACCATACCATAACACCACCGCCACCACGGGCCACTCGATCCACAACGTTGACATCAGCAAACCGCTCACCCACAGAACGCCATACAAGCTGTCTGCCATCTGCCCTATACAGTGAAAACCGGGACTCATCCGTGAAGAGAACACCTCTCCAAAGTGCCAGACGCCATTGAATGTGAGCATTTGCTGACTCAAGTAGGTTGCAATGATGAATTGCAGTCAGGTCAAGACCCAGATAAGGACGACGAGCATGCAGATGAGATTCTGACAGTCTGTGCAACCGATTGTTGTCCGAGGGTCTGGTCTCAGACAATCTTGGAGGTGAACATGCTGGATGTGGAGCTCATGGGCTCCACATCATGAGGTAATGCTGGGGGGTTACATGTGGTCTGCGGTTGTGAGGCTGGTTGGATGTACTGCCAAATTGTCTGAAACGCCTTTGGAGATGGCTTATGGTAGAGAAATGAACATTCAATTCACAGGCAACAGCTCTGGTTGACATTCCTGCAGTCAGCATGCCAATTGCACGCTCCCTCAAAACTTGCAACATCTGTAGCATTTTAGAGAGGCCTTTTATTGTGGCCAGCCTAAGGCACACCTGTGCAATAATCACGCTGTCTAATTAGCATCTTGATATGCCACACCTGTGAGGTGGATGGATTATATCGGCAAAGGAGAAGTGTTCACTAACACAAATTTAGACAGATTTGTGAACAATATTTGACAGAAACAGACCTTTTGTCTACATAGAAAAAGTTTTAGATCTTTGAGTTCAGCTCATGAAAAATGGGGTCAAAAACAAAAGTGTTGCGTTTATAATTTTGTTCAGTATATATATTTAATGGGCTATGACAACACTACTCCGGGGTTAGCGCCTCCCTTCACTCCCATTGGACAGGACAAAGTTTTAGCCCATAAAACTTCAACATGACCATAACACCCCAGTTTGTAATAAACCAACAACCGGGTTGGGTGCCTAGTGCTGCTATGGCCCATTGCTGGGAAAGGAAAATATCGGTAAGTATGAAACAATTTTCCATTTTCCCGGCCATGGCAATGGCAGCACTACTACAGGGCAATGTCCAAGCTATAAAACTCTGGAGGGGTGGGGGAATTTCAGAACACAATATGATGCTGAAATTTATTAAGTGCCAACATAAGTTCAAGAAGCCTATAAGACAGCAGAACCAAATTGAGCCTCTCTAGAGGATCTCACATTCAGTCGATAATGACGGATAAAGGTATTCTGAGATGACCATGTAGCTTCTCTGCAGATTTGATCAAAAGAGATTTGTGCAACAACTTCCCAGGAAGTGAATAGAGTGCGGGTTGAATGGGCTTTCAGACCTTGAAGAACCGGAACCCGTTTAGTCTCGTAAGCCTTAGTAATGGTCGAGACCAGCCACCTAGAGATGGTCTTAGGAGATGCTTACAGGCCCTTATCATGCCCTTGAGGGAGGATAAAAAGCCTAGAGGATATCCTCCAGTTGCTAGTTCTGTTGAGGTAGCCCGATAAAAAGCAAACCATATCCAGGGTGTGAGACAATTGTTCCTCCTCATAAGAAGGAGATGGGAAGAAAGCAGGCAAGATGATCTCTTGGTTCATATGAAATGATGAAACCAATTTAGGCCTGAACTCTGGAACTGTTCTCAGAATCACCTTATCCTGTTGGAACGAGATGAAAGGTTCGTTTGATGAGAGTGCTGCCAATTATGAGACTCTTCTACCTGAAGTCAAGGCAACCAGAAGAGAGGTTTTAAGATAAGGAACATAACTGGAATCTCTGTTATGGGTTCAAATCGGGGAACCTTGTAAGGCTAACAGGACAAGTGGCAAGTCCCAAGGAGGAGAAATGGACTTGATAGGAGGTCTGATCTGCATGACAGCCTTCATAAAATGAGCCACATCAGAGTCTAGTGCCCATCTTACCCCAGATAAAGCTGAAAGGGCTGAAATGTGGACCTTCAGAGTGTTCAGACTGAGACCCTTGTCCAGGCCATCTTGCAGAGACCCCAGGAGATCCACATCAGAGAAGGACCCTGAATACCTTTGTTAGATGCCCAGTCAGAGAAGATGTCCCAAATACGGTAATAGGCAGCCAAAGTATTCCATTTCCTTGCCTGAAGCATAGTTGAAATCCTTTCTCTTGTAATCACCTCCTTTCAGTTTCCATGCCATCAGCTGGAGGGTTTGAGGAGCAGGATGGAACAGAGGACCCTAAGACAGCAGGTCCTCTTTCACAGGCAGATGAAGTGGGATTTCCATGGAAAGGCTCAACAACAGTGGGAACCAAGGTCTCTGTGGCTAATACGGGAGAACTGCAATCACCACCACACGTTCCCTCTGAATTCTCCTTAAGAGAGTGAAGATAAGGGGAATCGGGGGAAACACATACCCTGTTTGGAAATTCCATGAACAGCTGATGGCATCCCAACCTTCCGCTAGTGGATGATGCTCCCTTGATAAGAACCTCTAAACCTGTCTGTTCTGGAAGTTGGCCATCATGTCAATCTCTGGAAGACCCCATCTATGAACCAACCACTGAAAGGCCCATTTTGCTAGACACCATTCTCCTGGCAAGATTTTGTGTCTGCTCAGGAAATCTGCCTTGATGTTCATGGAACCTGGAAGATAAATCACACATATCCCCAGAAAGTTTTTTTTGTGCCCATTTCATGAGAGGAACCATGATACGCATCATCCTCGGACTGTGAGTACCTCCTTGGTTGTTCACATATGCCACCACTGCAGTGTTGTCCACTTTAGGTGACACAAGGCCCTGAAAACTGCCCTCACTTCCAGTTAGTTGGAAGATGCTCCTCAGAGGGATATAAGACATTTCCCTTGAAGATATATCTGGTTCATATCGGCGCCTGATATAGATCCAAATATTGATCTTTGTTATATTCAGAGGAAGCCCAAATTATTATTACAAGTGCACTTGGAGAAGCGTGAACTAGATAACAGACACTTGTTGGTATTCAAAATAAGCTTCTGACCTTTATTTGTCAGTTGTGTTTTTATACATTAAAAAGTAAGTGCTTACATGCAAATACTCATTGGACAGTAGTAGGAAGGGAGTGAAAGTGTAAAAGGAGTACAAATAAGACATAGGTGATGTACATGATGAACGTCATGTACATATATAGCAAATAAGTTCAGAGAAAGAGAAACAACATAATAATTTGAGAAGAGACAGCTCAGGTGTGGGCTATCTGTCCCCAGAACTAGACGTATACAGTCTTAAGTGTAGTTTTGAGCATCAAGCATTTCCTGAGTCCAAGTTAGCCAATTTTAAAGGAACACTATAGTTACCTAAATTACTTTGGCTAAATAAAGCAGTTTTAGTGTATAGATCATTCCCCTGCAAATTCACTGCTCAATTCACTGTCATTTAGGAGTTAAATCACTTTGTTTCTGTTTATGCAGCCCTAGCCACACCTCCCCTGGCTATGGTTGACAGAGCCTGCATGAAAAATAAAACTGGTTTCACTTTCAAACAGATGTAATTTACCTTAAATAATGGTATCTCAATCTCTAAATTAAACTTTAATCACATACAGGAGGCTCTTGCAGGGTCTAGCAGGCTATTAACATAGCAGGGGATAAGAAAATCTTAATTAAACAGAACTTGCAATAAAGAAAGCCTGAATAGAGCTCTCTTTACAGGAAGTGTTTATGGAAGGCTGTGCAAGTCACATGCAGGTGTGACTAGGGTTCATAAACAAAGGGATTTAACTCCTAAATGGAAGAGGATTGAGCAGTGAGGCTGGAGAGGCATGCTCTATACAGAAAAAATGCTTCAATAAGCTAAAGTTGTTCAGGTGACTATAGTGTCCCTTTAATATAAGATATCTAATATGACACCTATAAGCTTGAACCTTGGAATGAAAGTAAATTCTATCACAGCGCCCCATCCTAATTGGCATGCATCTGTGGTGACCCCCTCTGGAAGACCCCATCTGTGAACCAACCACTGAAAGGCCCATTTTGCTAGACACCATTCTCCTGGCAAGATTTTGTGTCTGCTCCTGGAAGATAAATTGCACATATTGTGCCCTTTTCATGAGAGGAACCATGATACTCATCATCCTCAGACTGTGTGTACCTCCTTGGTGGTTCATGTATGCCACCACTGCAGTGTTGTCCACCTGTAGTTTCACCCAATGGTGTTGGATTCTTGACTTTAGGTGACACAAGGCCTTGAAAACCGCCCTTACTTCCAGGTAGTTGGAAGATGCTCCTCGGAGGTATACAGGCCATTTACCTTGAAGGTATATCTGGTACAGGTGGGCACCGCTTACTGTTTGGCTTGCATCCGTGGTGACTACCATCCAAGGTATATCACCCAGGGGAAAACCTTTGGTCAGGTTTGGCTTTGAGAGTCGCCATTTGAGAGCTTCCTTTACTTTGGATTTAAGATGAATGGGCTGGTTCAAATTCAGATGCTTGTACTGGGTTAAGAAGAATCTTTGAGGGATTTGGATGTGCCATTGAGCCCATCGGGTAAGGCCTATAGTAGATGAAAGGGACCCCAGGATGCTCATGTAAGCTCTTGCAGTGATCTTGTGAAGGCAAAGTATTCTCATCAACTTCTTTCTCAGCTGATGTCTTCTGTCTCCTGATAGACAGACAAACCCTATATTTGTATCAAACCAGGCTGCCAGATAGATCATCTGTTGACCCAACCATGGTTCTCCAAGATCGATCTGGGGATGTCTAAATGGGCAATCAGGGATGGGTAATGCAATATCAGAATGTCATCCAAGTAGTGGAAAATGGAGATACCCTTCTTCCTGATTTCTGCAATCAGGGAAACTAGGACCTTGGCAAACACCCTGGATGCTGAGTTGAGGCCAAATGAAAGGGCCCTGAACTGCCAGTATTTCTTGTTCAGACAGAACCTCAGGAACCTCTGATGTACACTTGCGATTGGGATGTGGAAATAGGCATCCATGAGATCGATGTAAATTAACCAATTGCCTGGAGATACTGCCTGGATGATGAAGGCTAATGATTACATCCTGAATTATCTGGCACACAGAAAGATATCGAGGATGGACAAATCCAGGATTGGCCTCCATGCATCCTTGCCTTTTGTGGCAAGGAAAAGCCTTGAGTAGAATCCCTGAAATCGTTCTTCTATGGGAATTTGGCAGAACACCAATTGTTGGGACAGAGAATCTATGACTTCTAGAAGCACCCTTCTTTTTCTTAAATCTTCTGGAAATGAGGAACCGAAGAATTTTCCTGAAGTAGACTTCTCCCCGAATTCTAGCTGATAAACTTGGGATCCTTGATGGTGTGACTCCAAGTCTCTGAGAAATTAAGCAGTCTGGCGCCTATTCATGGACACTGAGCCTGGAAGCAGTCAGAATCTTTTATTCTGGCGGGCAGATGACCCTCTGCCCCTACCACCTCTATGAAAGGATTGACCGGCCTTCCATGGCTGGCTCCGAAAGGACTGCCTTCCAGGTCTGTATTCCAGAATGACCTCCTGTCTGCATTATTGTATCTTCTGTTGCTCCTGTTACATGGCAATAAGGTTTTACTGCCTTCTGCAGCCTTTTTGATGCACTCATCCAGCTGACATCCGAAAAGCATGTCATCCTGAAAAGGTAGTGAGCAGAAACTATTCTTGGATGTGGTGTGAGAATCCCAGGCCTTAAGCCAGGGTGCTCTATGTCCAGCAGCATTCAAGGGCCATGGACCTAGCTAAGGAGCATACAAGATCAACAAAGGCATTGGACACAAATCTGCCGCAAGGCTAATGTCTTCCACAGCTCTGATGAGTCATGATCTACTCACTCCATTCTTGATGTCAGCTTCCAGATCCTCTGCCCATTGTTTAGGGGCCCTGAAAACTGAAGTTAAGACAGCTGCTGGGTGCAGACTAGCTCCTGCTGCAACGTAGTCCTTAGAAAGATTAGTATCAATCCTTTTCTCCATAGGTTCTCTCAAAGAGCCAGAGTCCTCCAGAGGACAGGTGGTCTTCCTGGCCAGCCTGACTACTGCCGCATCCACCTTGGGAGCCGAGATCTAAGAGGCAGAGGCAGCTTTCTTGAATAGTTATAGTTGGACCACTTACCCTGAAAACTGAACCGTTTCTCAGACTTACCCCATTCATCATGAACAAGGGTCTTTATGGTCTCAAGGAGGGGAAAAAATTTTTCTTTTCTTTTGAGACTAGCAAAGTGCTTGCTGCATGAGGGTACTTGAACAGAGGATTCCTCCAAACTTAGAGTCTTCCTCACTCCATCAATGAGAGCTTCAGTTTTCTTTTCATCAAACTCCCTTGAATATGTGAACTCTTTACCATCCAATGACTCTGGGTATTCAGTAGGAAAATAACAAATGACTCTTCACATTGGATTCATCCATAATGCTTTCACTGTCAGAGATCTCGTAGGCTTAGAACTCCTGGTAGACCTTAAAACCTTCTGCCAGAGCCTGTTTGATGATGGAAATCACATCAGTTGGATTGGCAGATGCAGGATGAGCTACTGGAGGTTCAGCAACCAGTTTCATGCAGGCTATGGAAAGCCGTTTCCCTTCTGCCGCCACATCGTCACATGCATTGCACTTATTAAGCAATGTTCTCCTGTCCGCAGGTGAAACCAGGGATCTCCTTGGAGACCTGATGGAACAGATATAATAACAATATGACAGAGGAATTATTTTGATTCAAAATTGAGGTAATATATTTTAAAAACTGAAAAAATTATTTGACATAACTTGTACCTCTAGATTGTGACTTATTTCTTTTCTTGTCTGGTGAGGCCATGAAGACACAATACCTGAGCAGCTGGAAAGAGACCACCCGTTAGGGACTAATATCCAGATAAAACAAAAAACTTTGCAATTCATCTAATGCAAGGTAAAAAAAAAATAATCATAAGATTTTTCTGACAAAAAAGTAGAACTTACCTTATTGCACAAAAAAGAAAAACCCCAAAAGATCTGCAGAGACCAGAGCACTGTATAGCTTGTAGGACAAATAACATCAGATTGCCTTTAGACTCAATAGGAGGGGGGAAAAAAACGTTTCAATGAGAAAAAAACACGGGAACGAAATTGGTGAACTCACCCGAATGTGAGGGTAAATCTGCTTAAATCTGTGAGTGTGAAAGGCTGAACTTGATGGGCACATTTCTCTTTTCAGCTATGCAACTATATGTGTTTTAGTGAGTATGAATTTGTGTGTTGTCTGATCCTTTAGTATACTGGCCTACTCACATACACAATTTATTATGGTAATAAAATGGATGAGGCCCTACACACATTTATTATTATTATTATGACCTTGCTAAGCCTCTGCAAATGGGATTAGCCATTTAGGCATTAAATTAGTATTTGTGGATAAGCTTTTGAAATTAATTAAATATTTTGAAAAAACTTAAATATTATTTTGATCATAAATAAAAATATTACTGTATCAAAGAATATTAAATATTTTTTAAAAATATTAAATATTTTAAAAGTTCATCCAAAAATATTAACATTGAAAACACATAGCCTAAACAAAGTATTTCTATAGAAATTTGCCAATTAAACAGGCTAATATATTTATTTCTCAGCAATAGGAGGACTCCTGGTCAGTTTAAAAATCGAACTTGAAACTCTTGAAGGCGAAGTAAATTAATGTTAATCTGTGTGAATGTTAATCCATGTGTTAATTTGTGTGTGTGTTAACCTGTCTGAATCTGTGAGTGTGTGTTAATATGTGAGTCTAAATCTGTGAATGTGTTAATCTATGTGAGTGTTAATAGGTGTGTGTTAATCTGTGTGTCTGAATCTTTGAGTTTGTAGAAATCTGTGTGAATCTGTAAGTCTAAATCTGTCTGAATCTGTGAATGGTTGCTAATCTGTGAGTGAGTGTGTGTTAATCTGTGTTAGTGTTAATCTGTGAGTGTGTGTTAATCTGTGTGTGAGCGTTAATATATATGTTAATTTGTGTGTGTTTATTCATGTGCCAGGATCAGTGTGCCTTAATCTGTGAATGTGTGTGAATTTGTGAGTCTAAATCTGTCTGAATCTATGAGTATTTGTTAATCTATGAGTTAAACTATGAGTTAATGATTGTGTTAATTGTGTTAGTGTTAATCTGTGCGTGAGTGTTAATCTGTATGTTAATTTGTGTGTTTGTTTGTGTTCCAGGATCTATGTGCCTAAATCTTTGAATGAGTGTGAATTTGTGATTCTAAATCTGTCTTTATCTGTGTGTGCTAACCTGTTTAAATTCTTTGAGTCTATATCTGTCTGAATCTGAGAGTGTGTGTTAATCTGTGTTAGTGTTAATCTGTGTTAGTGCTAATCTGTGTCTGAGTGTTAATCTATGTGTTGATTCTATGAATGTGTGTGAATTTGTGTGAATCTGTGAGTGTAGTAAATCTGCTTGAATCTCTGATTGTGAAAGGCTGAACTTGATGGACGCATTTCTTTTTTCAGTTATGCAACTATATGTGTTTCAGTATGTGTGAATTTGTGTGTCTGTGATCCTTTAGTATACTGGCCTACTCACACACAGAATATATTATGGTAATAAAAGGGATGGGGCCCGACACACATTTATTATTATGAATTGAAAAGCCTATGCAAATGGGGTGAGCAATTTAGGCATTGAATTAATATTTCTGGATAAGCTTTTTCAATTATTTAAAAATTTTGGATAAACTTTTAAAAATTATTTTTATCATATATAAAAATATATCAATGTATCAAAGAATATTAAATGTTTTTTTCAAAACATAAAATAATTTTAAAAATTCATTCAAAATGATTTACATTGAAAACACATAGCCCAAACAAAGTATTTCTATAGAAATTTACAGATTAAACAGGCTACAGTCTTAATGATGGACATAATGCAAGGGGCTCAGGAAAGCCATTTCTTTCCATAAGAAGGTACGAATATAGGTTCTTACAGAAGAGGAAAAAGCAATGGTAATGCAAGTCCATGTTCATCCCATCAATACTTTCATAGTGACTTCATGAAATCACATGGTCTTCATACTGCTAATTTGTACTTTGCGTGAGTAAAAGTTCGAGTAAAGTTGTATTTCATTTCAAAAACATTAATAATGATAAATTCTGCTTGTCAAACTCTCCCTCACAAACACCTACTGCTTAATCCACTAATAACGCCATGGCATGTTTCAAAACATGAAAGAAAAAGGTGAGAGGCCAGCTGACAACCCTCTCACCCTTTCCTCCTAGGGAATACCAACGTTTTCCCATACACTTAGTCTGTAGCGTCAGTGACCGTCCTTCAGTGTAGCAAAAAAAAGCACCCTATCAGCTTCTCCTGTCTGCAACCGGCTCAATATATATGCATATTTTTTGGGGGGTGTTTGAACAAGGGGATGACCTTTCCAAACTGGCACTAGGACTCTGCAGATAGCACTGAAACAGTGCTTCCTGCAATGCCTGTCATTAGTGGGCTGGTCTGTATGATGGACAAGCAGCCTGATGTGTAGTCAAGTCAGGCTGACCTGTCAGTAATTTGGGTAAACCCACCCCTATGGCTCAGAGCCAGGGATGCAAATGCATTACTAGCAAGTCCCTTTTACCTCTCTCTCACCAACGTCCCAATTCTCTGGATGCTGAGTGTGCGTCTAGAGT